CATCAGATAGTGTGCATATCTGTAGATGGCATGTTTCTCCTTGAGGCTGTGCCTACTGATTCCTGTTTTGGTTTTTCTCTGTTTCTTAAAGTTTGATGTCTTCGAGAAGAAGCATATATCCCAGTGTATTCTAATGATAGCATTTTTGATGTTTAGTCACTACCTTGTGAGTTTCCAGGAGCAAGAGATGCTGTCCTTGGGGAATTCTTTGAAAACCATCCAAGGCATAAAGATACCTTGATCAGTGCTCACAAGTCAAGCATTCCTTTAAGTGTCAAGTGGATCAAGAAACAGGCTGACACCTTCATTTTGGAAGACCTCCTTATGTGCTTTCCTGCCACTACCTTCCCTAATCTTGAGTTTCTCATTTTTTTTTTTTTTTTTTTTTTTGCTGTGGTGATGGTTTAAAAGAAAATGGTCCCCAAATGGAAGGGCACTATTAGGATGTGTGGAATGGATATGACCTTGTTGGAGGAAGTTGTTTGGAGTTCTCTTCTACGAAAGCTGTTCCTATTGTCACAGACCACTTACACTGCCTATAAGATGTAGGACTCTTAGCTACTTCTCCAGCACCATGTCTGTTACACGCCACCATGATCCACCATTATGATAATGGACTAAACCTCTGAACTGTAAGCCAGCAACACCAATTAAATGTTTTCTTTTATAGGAGTTGCTGTGATCATGGTGTCTCTCCAGAACATTAGAAACCCTGTTAAGACACTTGCTAAATGAAAGGTTACATACGGTACAAATGTACTTATCTGAAATTTACAGCTTAGTTTTCACTATCCTATACACTATCCTGGAGCCATCATCTCTGGCACATTTTTTGGGGGGGCTGTTGTGATGCTTAGGTGGGCCTCTAACTCACTATTCTCCTGCCTCCCCTCACAGTCCTGGGATCACAGTTGTGCACCACCATGCCAGCTATGTACAGATGATTTTCAATTCCACCTCCTTCTTGTCCCCTCCCAGCTTCCCCTACATCTGCCATTCTGACATCAGTTGTTATTGGTGACTTTTGCCACGCTGTATGTTAGCTGTTTTTGTAGCCGAATACTTTTGAAACAACAACTCTGGAAATATAATGTCTGTTATTTATAGATTGCTTTTTAAATTATGTCATAACTTTTTACATGTCATATAACTTACATATCTTCAAGTGTGCTTAATGGTTGTATAATAATTAGGTAGTGATGACACAGTTTTAAAAATAATACACTGTAAGTTTTCAGTTTTCCTATCATGCTGGTAACTGTGAGTAGTTTAGTAAGTCATACTTTGCAAATGCTTGAGGAATGGCTGGAAAGTGAAAGGACAAATTAAGTTTGTTTTCTTTGGTGGTAGAGTCTCATTTTGTTGATCAGTCTGACTTTGAATTCCTGGGCTCAATTGATCTCTTGCCTCATCTCCCTAGAAACTATGTGTCCGTATGTTAATACTCTACTAATCTACAATCATATGAGAAGAGGGAACCTCAATTGAGAAAATGCTTCTATTAGACTGTCCAATAGGCATTTTGTGGGGCATTTTCTTGTTTGGTGTAGGAGGGCCCAGCCTATGTGGGCGGTGCTACCCCTGGGCATGTAGTTCTGGGGTATAGAAAGCAAACTGAGCGAGCCAGGAGGAGCCAGTCAGTAAATGAGTGTCCCTCCATGACCTCTGTTTCAGTCCTTGCCTTGGCTTATCCCATGATGAAGTGTAACCTGTTAGCTACATAACCCTTTCTCCCTAAACTGCTGGAGGATATAGGGCTGTATATTCAGATTGCCTGTTTAGGAGGTCACAGTAACTTAGACCTCTCCCAGTGGTGACTTAGAGTGGCATTGTATTTCATCCTTGCCAAATTAAAAAAAAAAAAAAAATACAGATTCCCTATCCTTATACACACATAAATAAACAAAATGTAATTTGAAGTTTTATTTTACAGACTTTTATTTGTGGAACAGTTTTAGATTTATAGATAATTAAGCTGAAGTTTTGTTCAAAATTTTTAATTATTATCTAATGGCATGTACAGTGTTTTACAGATAAGTCTAACTATGTCTCCACTATTCATTTCTCTCCCCAAATCTCTAACAGCTGTTTATTTTTATTTTTTTTTGTGCATTCCAGAACTGTGCCATATTAAAAATATCTTATACTTGAAATTTCAGAGCATTTTCTTCTCAGATTTACTTCTTAGGAGCACACATTATTTAAGTTTCATTCTATGTGTGGGATGTTTGAGTTGGGAGCTCATTTCTTTTTATGGCTTCTATTCCTGTGTGAATTTATTTAAGGATATCTTGATTATGCCTGGATTTTACACTTATAAATGGAATTAGTATAAAATGCATGTGCAAGTTTGCAGGTTTTCTTGTGGATGTAAGCTTCTGGCTCATTTCATCAAACTCAAAGATTAGGATTTCAAGATCTATGGTATTGTAGAGAGCTATCCTCAAGCATAAGAGCCATCTTCATCACAACAGCTGTGACTGCTTGCAAAAGATGTACATATACACACATATACCACACACACACACCACACAGACACACAACCACACACACTGTACACATACACCACACACACCACACACACACTGAGGTAATACTTTAGACTCACAAAGATAAGATAGATAGAATATTTTCTTTAAATTTTACCAAATATTAATGAACTAAATATTATAAGTATAATTTTTGCTTGACAACTGTTTTCTTATATATAATTTTACTATGTTAAAGTTAAAACCTTCCTTTTTATTTAGAAAAGAGGAGATGAAGGGGGATGTCATTCTGTATGCTGTGAATATATGTTTCTCTTACTGGTGGTTGATGAATAAAGCTGTTTCTGCCAATGGACAGGCTGGATGTAGCCAGGAGGAAGTATAGGCTGAGAGACTAGACTAGGAGAATTCTGGGAAGAGGAAAGCAGAGAGTTGGTCACATGACAGACACTATATAGCTGCTAGGAAGCAAAAGGTCCAGGTCAAGAACATGTGGAGACATATAGATTAATAGAAATGGATTAATTCTTAAAAGACAGCTAGCCAATAAGAAGCCTGAGCCATTGGCCAACCGGTTTATAATTAATACAAGCCTCTGTGTATTTATTTGGGATTAAATAGCTGCTGGACCAGGCAGGACAGAAACCTCCATCTACACAGAGCTGTCTTAGGTTTTTATTGCTGTGAAGAGACATCATGATTATGGCAACTCTTATAAATGAAAACATTTAATTGAAGTACTCATTTATAGTTTCAAAGGTTCAGACCATTATCATCATGGTGGGGGAACATGGCAGCATGCAGGCAGACCTAGTCCTACATCTTGACTCAGTGGCAACTGGAAGTCAACTGACTCACTGGGCAGTATTCTGAGCATAGGAAGCATCAAAGCTCACCCCCCACAATGACACACTTCCAACAAGGCCATACCCACTCCAACAAAGCCCCACTTCCTAATAGTGCTACTCCTTATGGGATTATCGGGTCCAAATACAAGACTACCACAATACCGTACACATAAACCATATGCATACCACACACACGCACACATGCATGCACGCATGCATGCACGCACTCCCACACAGAGACACACACCAAACGCATGCACACACACCCCACACTATGGTGATATACTATTTATGATTTATTAAAGCTTGCCCGAGGGTACTGAAAGCAAAGCCAGACACAAGCTATCGAGGTCAGGCAGTGGTGGCAAACATCTTTAATCCCAGGATGTAGGACTAAGAGGTAGACGGATCTCTGTTAGTTCAAGGCCACACTGAATACACGAAATTGATTCAGTCCTAAATGAAACAGCTCACACAAAGGTGATCTCAGCACCTGGGATCACACACTTTTAATCCCAGCATTAGAGAGGTGGTGGAGACAGGAGTGATATGGCTGGGCAGAGAGAAAGGAGTAAAAGGAGGAGGAGATAGGAACCTAAGAATTTTTGCCTCTGAGGATTCATGGGGACAGGATTGCCATTTTAGCTTGGTAGAGGTAAGATCTACTGGCTTAGCTGTTTTGCATTTCTGATCTTCAGCTTGAAGCTTGAACCTCAGTATCTGTCTTTGGGTCTTTTACTTTTTTGTGCAGCACCACACATATACACTTAACACACACCAAATACACCACATACACACACCATACACACCTACATATGTCACACATACATACACCACACACACATGCACAAACATTACACATACACACATACCACATGTACACCACACATACATACACATATCACACAGATATACACACACCACACACACATACATATATATATATATGCCTCCTACACACACCACACACACACACACACACACATATATATACATACTACACACACATACACACCACACACACATGCACACAACACAAACATACACATGTATACATACACAAGCTGAGCCCAGGCTTATTGATGGTTGGCCGTCATCTTTAGAGAGTCTAGGGAGATTTAGTAGACCCTCACTGAGATCCCAGTTTTTCCTTCCTGCACTGCCCAGCCTTTTGTATGTAATCTGTCATATTTGCACATGACCTCATGGTCTTGTAAGGTGCCATGATGTATAGGTCATGTAAGGTTAACAGAAGCAGGGACTCCATTGATGTAGCTATGAGATAGTTGACATCCATGTTGGGACAAGATATTCTGGTGGTATGGTTGCTTTACAGTCCCCTACATCCCTCCTCATACATGCTCTGTAAGTAGCCTCAGAAAGTCATTGGTTTCCAGGGTTGCACTTTAGTGGGGTTACTTCAGTTAATCTTTGGTGTTCTATAAGTAGGGGATTGACATTTGTTTCCACCCCAAGAAAGTTCCCAAAACAAATGGGAAGAGAGTGTGCCAAAGTCCTTGAGATGGCGCATCATTTCATTGCTGTTAAATCTGTTCTCAAGGTTTTGTCCCAATAATATTTAGAAGAGATTTAAGGCCTTATGGTGTTTGTACATTAATACACAATTGCCTGTGTTACTCATTGCCTTCTACATCTGTTTCAGGTTCAACTCACTCAGAAGAGCCAGTGTTATTCTGCAGCATCTGGTAAGTTTGGATTTTGCTTTGCTGTTTATGATACAACTTAAAGGTGTCTCTGTTAGGGAAGTAGATGTTCTTGGGATGACAGGTTTCCTTGACTCCCCAACCGTGGCCCTCAGACTCCCATGGTAAGACTTGCCACCTCCTGCACACTCTGTGTTGTAAAGCTTACTGTCTGGTTTAAATATTGCATCTACAACTCAGTCTTGGACAAATGCTTAGTTTATTGTAGCTTGTGTGTGTGTGTGTGTGTGTGTGTGTAAAATGAGGATAGTATTTAGCACACAGTGATTCAAAATTTAACATGTGGACTGGAGAAATGACTCAGCAGTGCTTAAGAGACTGGGGTTTAGTTCTCAGCACCTGCATAGTGGCTATCAGTATGTAACTTTAGTCCCAGGGTATCTTAAGTCTTCTTCTGGCATCATACATGCTAACAAAGTACCCATACACATAAAATAAAATTTTAAAAATCTTAAAAACAGTATGTAACATGTAAATAATAACGTAATACCTTAGTAGTTATTGCTAATAATAAATGCTACTACCATAGCAATTATGCTAATTGTACCTTGTAAAGTTAGACTTTCTATTTTTATTAGATAACAGGAAAATAATTTTTATTGTTTGATATCTCTTGTAGAATCTGCTGAATATCTTAATATGAATAAACACTGCTATAGCACTATATGCAGACAGTAGTTACACTAAGTCCTTCATATTGTATTAGCTTGCTTGGAGCAGAGCCTGTAGTTCTTATGTGTAGTTTTAAAGCCTCGTCTATAGAGCTTTTGTTGTTAATTTGTGGTTAATGTGCTTTGTGACACTGTCTGATCTGAATATAGATGCGGTCTGGTGGGTAGCATGCTAAGAACCTGTCTTACAAAAGTATCAGATAGTTTTCCTAGGCTCTGTCATAGTTATTGCTTCTACAGTGTGTGTTTACTCACACCTGACATAGTAAGATCATATTTTCTGATCTGTGTCAAGTTGCTTAAGAAGGGTAACTTATTACAGGGATCATTTTGTTAACTGGATTTTTCTGCTGAGAAATTCAAATTAAAAGGACAAATCATTTCCTATTGTTCCTTCCTTTCTGTTTTTCTTTTTTGTTGTTGTTTAAGACAGGGTTTCTCTGTATATCTCTGGCTGTCCTGGAACTTGCTCTGTAGACCAGGCTGCCCTCGACCTCAGAGATCCTCCTGCCTCTGCCTCCTGAGTGTTGGATTAAACATGTGCACCATCACTGCCCAGCACTTAAAGTTCTTTTAAGTACATATCATTTTGTTTAATATCTGGTAATGAATTGTCATAAGAATTAATATACAGCATGAATTTACCAAGGAAAATGAAAACATGTTTAATGCTGTCAAAATGTCAATTGGATTTTATCAGATATTAGTTATGTGTGCTGTGTGGTTTTAATTGACATATCTCAAGATAAAAATTTAAATTCATTTTTAAAATATTGTGATCTTGAAGATTGAATTGAGCAATTTGCATATGTTAGGCAAGCACTGCACCACTCAGCCACAATTTTTAAATTTAAACCAGTTTCCAATTTTAGTATATGTTTAAGATTTATTTTTATTATTTTAATTATGTCTGTGTGTGAGTATTTGTGTGTGGTTATGTGTGTGTGATGTCCATGGAAGCCAGGGGTAGCAAATTCCCCTGGAGTTGGAATTAATAGGCAGCTATGAGCAGCCTGTTGTGGAGTGCTGGGAACTGAACTAAGGTCCTGTATAAGAACTATACACACTCTTGACCACTGAGCCATCTCTCCAGCCCCGCTGACTTCCAGTTTTATACTAAAGACTGTTCCCATGTGTTGCCACTCTGCTTGGTGGAGTAAACCTGGGAGAGTGAAGTCTAGAAATGAGGTGGACTAAACTCTCATGCAATAGCCAACTTTATTCATCTATTAGTTTACATTCTGAGGGTTAAGCAAGGTCATATGAGCAAAGGTGACATTAGTTCAAGTTGTATACATTGTTGAGGACATCTTGCTTGTAACATCATTCTGAATAATAATGGATACGTTGATGGGTAATCTAAAGTAAACCGCTCTTATTACCACAGCTGGGAGGGGTGCAGAAGCTCATTCCAAGAACAACCCAGGTTATAGAGAAACAGGTTATGAGGTTCTTGTCCTGGTTATTTGGAGTTTTCTCATAGGGTCTCATAAATCTCACAGCTTCATTCATGGACTGTGTTCCAACATCCTGTGAGGTTTAAATTATTCTCCATGGATAAAGGGAGATATTAGGAATGGTGATGCTGTAAGCCCTGAAAGCCCTGTGTGTGTGTGTGTGTGTGTGTGTGTGTGTGTGTGTGTGTGTGTGTGTGTATGTATGTGTCTGTGTCTGTGTCTGTGTGTCTGTGTGTCTGTGTGTGTGTCTGTCTGTGTCCCTGACCAAATCCTATAAAGTTGCTGTGTAGTTAAACTCCTGTTCCTGTCAGGTATTGTAGTTAAGTTTCAAACCCAGGACAAATGCTGAGGTGCTTATTTAACATATCAAAATGGACCTGACCACTAGGTTCTACCAGCATCCCTCAGTCCCTACCTGTTACAGGGTACGTGGCATATCCTGTCCTCTACCTTGAACTCTCCAGCTCAGGGTCCAGGCTGTCCTTCCCCCAGAGGCTCTTCCTTATATAATCCAGACACTGGTTACCCTGCCCCCTTTGGACCTTTGGCCTCCTGGCTGCTGCATGCACTTGGTTCCCCTCTCTCCCTAGACCACCTAGAGTGGTCATGTCCACTCTAGAGTCTTCACATATATCTCTGTCCCTGACTATGCTCGTCTCCACATATCTACAATAAACTTTCTCTTCCACCATACCTAGGAGTGGTCATGCCCTTTTCTTTCCTTTTAATTTTTTAAATTCATGTCACATAGCTCTTATTTTTCATGTTCTTTTTGTACCCTGCCACTTAGTTTCACTGACTTTAAAAAAAAAAATGCTGACTGCTCTTAGGGAATCATTGTACAGTCTAATGTAATTAGACATGACAGCCTTTGGATTGAAGACTACTTTGTCGGTATTGTAGTAGTGGTGCCGAGGTGTCCTGTGTGAGACCCTGCCAATGCTTACACTGCATCTTTTCAATGTAGAACATGCAAGTCTGAAGTTGTGATCTTGCCTTGCTGCTCTTCCGTCTGTACTCCCATGCTCATTTCCTTGTCCAGCCTTTGTTGTACTCATGTTTAGCATCTTAGTGTTTCTAGATGGCCAGCACATGCCATTGTTCTGCTTGGATTCTCACCTTCACTTTTGTGTACATCACAGCCCTGCCCAGATGCTACCTGTTCCAAGTTGCTCACAGCTACTGTAGTATAAGAATTATTTGCTCTTCCCATTTTCTAAGCACTTAACAGAGAATTTGAATGTAGTAACAAATGACAAGATTTAAGAGTATCTCATAGTCCAGGTGCTCTAGGAAGAGGCTGTATTTAGATTAGTTGATTCAGACCACTTAGAAATAAAATAGTGAAAATCCAGGAAATGTGCATGGTTTGCTTTGGGACTGCCCCATCTGCATAGTCTGAGAATGTTAGATTGTTAGATGTCCCTAGATGGTCACTCCTTTGGTTGTTGCCTGAAAGATGTGGATTTGGTATGTTCTTTTGTGGGCATATGGTAAAAACTTCATGAAGTTGTTCTTTGTTCACTCAGAGAATGTCCATGCATACTGAAGCCGCGGAAGTGCTGCTGGAGAGGAGAGGCTGTGCGGGAGTCATAACGCTGAACAGACCCAAATTCCTCAACGCTCTGTCTCTCAGCATGATCCGGCAGATCTATCCACAGCTAAAGGTCCGCAACAGCGTGGAACCCTTCTCAAGTGCACTGTGGGAGAGCATCCCTGGTATTTTACCCTGGGACTCCCTTGCATCAGCACCACTGGTGCTTTCCTGTGGAGCCTTGCCCACTCCGTTCACTCTTAGGAGACATACCTTCTACTTCACATAGCTCTTACTTTTCATGTTTCTTTCTGTGTTCTGCCACTCTTGTGTTCTGTCACTGACCCTTTAAACAGTGATGCTGACTGCTCAGAAATGGAAAGGAAGGACATGACTGCTCCTAGGTGTTGTGGAGGAGAAGGGTTATTGTAGACTAAGGGAGAGCAAAGTCAGAGTCAGGGACTTCTAGGGGAGTCCAGAGTGAATATGATCCTGAGACTGGCCATGTGAGGAGAGGAGGTGGGGGAGGGGGGAGATGAGCCAGGAGACCAGGAGAGTAAAGAGTAGACAAAAAAGGGCCTGGTGACCAAAATGGCTGGATTATATAGGGGAGGGCAGCTGGAGGAAGGGCAGCTCAGCTTCTGGGATGGAGAAGTTTAGGGTAGGGGTGGGGGTATGCCAGACAGGTAGGGACTGAGGGTTGCTAGGAGAACATGGTGGCCAGTCTACTTTGATATGTTAAATAGGCCTGGGTTTGAGGCATAGCATTCCCACCTTTTGTTGATAATAAATGGTAAGGGAAGATATAATCTTTTCTATGACTTCTTCCTGGTGACATTGGTGCAGTCATTGTTGGGGACTGAAGAAAGTGGGAATGTTGTTCAAGGCTGGAAAGAGAGAGAGAGAGGAATGAAGGCTGTTTTCAGGCACTGTCCTGGCTCTGCAGGACCATCTGGGGCCTGGGAAGTGCAAGCTGCATTGGAGCAGTTTGTGAGGCTGGACCGCCTGGGCTAGCAGCTTTGGAGCGGAGCAGGCTTGGGTGCAGACTTAAAGAGAACACCAGGGGCCAGCAGGTTGCTGGAGCAGTATGCTATTGATTTCAAATCTGCTGGGACAGGTAGACTAGGAACAGAAGGTATAGTTAAGGAGTTTAGGGGACATTTTCTATCCAGAGTGTATATCCAGACCCATGGTCCTGATAGTTTGGGGAGGGCAATCTCAAGACCAGGGAAAGGGGGAGAGATCCCACCCTCAAGAATAGACAGGTAGGGAAAACTTAGGTGTATTTATCTGAAGTCCCTTTGACCTGGGAGAGGTGGCTCCAAGTTGACTCCCTGATAATTTTAGATATGCTAGCATGCCTACTGTTTGTACTCTGTACTGAAATCCCTAGTGTAGAAAGGCAGTAGACTCATGCCTTTGAGAAACAGTAGAAGCCCAATGACCCAAAATGATTCTGAGTTAAAATCATGAACACTGTTTTCAGAGGGCTGGATGTGTAGATTAGGCAGAAGTGTTTTTAGTACTATTAAGAAGCACTTTTAAGTCTATTCTTAGAAGACGAAGTAAGTTTAAAATCTTGAGCTTGTGATTGATAATAGTAGTCAGTGCTTTACCAGCTTATCAGAACTTTGTTGATTGATGTTGAAATTTTGAACTTCAGAAATTTTAGTATAACAATAGCATAATGAAGAGAGAAATATAAAATTTTTTATTTTTCATATACCTTAAATCATTTTCTTGAACTTTACAGCTTGCATTTACATACCTTTAAAAACGTAGACCTTTATAACATGCATTTACACATCTTAAAACACTTTCTTAGATCCTCCAAACTTACATAAAATTTGAGCTTTTTCCTATCCAATCATTCCCCAGGAGACACAGGTGGTTAATTATGAGAGCAATCATTATAAAGCAGTTCCTTTAAATAAAGGAATAGTAAAAAAAAGTTACATTGAACTTGTTTTGAGAGTTTGTCTCTTTTCATAATCTGGGAACAAGGTAAATTGTCTTTCTCAGCTGGAGACCTAGTAGCTCTAGGAAAGTATTCCTCCCTCCCTCCCTTCTCCATATGAACAGACCTCCCTCTCTCCTCCATATGAACAGAACTTAAAAGGCAGCTGAAGCCTTGTGGAGAAGAGCTGGGTGCTTGTTGCTGTTAAAGCAACAGTTTGTCAGTATCATCAGAGATTTGAAAAGGATAAATTATAGCCTGTCTATCAATTAAAATGACAGAGACCCACTACCTAGACAGTTGTCCTAGGCTCCTGTGGTTTTGATGGCTTCGCTGGGGGAAATGGTCCTAGGTCTTTGACTGTCACACAGGACAGTAATTTTCAGCTGCTACACAGTGCAACATCGGCCTTGGGCTGCCAGACCCAGGTCTGAGGGGTGTTCCTGTGGAGGAGGAACTTGGGGGACTGACCTTACCCTGACCAGGCAGAGCAGGGTAATCAGCAACAGTGTCTGCAGCTTGTATAGAACCCTGGCAGCAGGTGAGGCACAGGGCAGCTTTGCCAAGTGGTTAGTGTTACCATAATTTAGGCCATGTCATTGTGCCTTATCTATATATTCTTTGGAGATCTTACGGTTCCTACTAGGAGCATTTTGTCTATTATGGGAGGCTTTCTCATTAAACATTTTAAATGATATATTCAATAGATCTCTAAAGAGTTTGAAGACCATTTATCTATTAACTATACCTGAGTTTAGGCTCTACTTTGAAAATACATTAACTTATATGTTGATGTGGGATGTCCTTCTGTATATGTTTCTCTTATTGGTTGATGAATAAAACACTGTTTTGCCCATAGCCAGGAAAGGCAGGAAAACAGGTGGGGCTAGGAGACAAGGTGAATTTTGGAAAAAGTAGGCAGAGAGGGATGCCATGAGGAGACTAGGACAATAGGACACACCAGGCATTCTCTGGTAAGCTAAGACCACGTGGAAATACATAGATTAATAGAAATGGGTTAATAATTAAGACAGAGCTAGCCAATAAGAAGCCCTAGTCATTGGCCAACAGTTTAATAATTAATATATCATCTGTGTGTTTATTTGGGGCTGAAGTCGCTGTGGGACCTGGCAGGACAAGAAAACTTTCATCAACAGTATGTCCCAATTATCTTTAACAGTTTAAGTTGGTAGCTTTTATAAGACTAGGATTTTATAGCTTTATCCTTTTAAGTTTGAACTTTCTAAATTAGAGTGGAAGATTTAATTGAAAATCCTTTAACATAGAAATAAAACTTTAAACCATAAATACAGTCCATAGGAACACTGGGAACACTTTTCTTATCTTTTCATAGTGCACCATTATAGACTATCACATTTTTTTGAATGGCTTAGTTTATCCAAATAGCTAAAGTTTAACAAAGTGGTCAAACACAAAGAATCTAGACAAATATTTAGGAATTTATAAACCTTGATTATCAAATATACCTTATTTATCAAACATATATTATTGCTTATCTAAATTTTCCAGATGCCTGGTGTTGAACAGTTAGCAAAAATACAAGGACTTAGATGTAGATCTCCAAGTCAACCTTTGTTCATAAGAGTAGACCTTTTAAACCATAACAGTTTATCATCATTCAAAAATCCATACCAATCCAAAATATTTTGGAAACTTGCTGTTTTCTCCTTAGTCTAAAAAGGAAGTATAATGAAAAACAGAGAACTCATTCAGAATAAGAAGGTTTATAATTGCTGCTCTATGCCACCTTGTCATCTTAAGATGAAGTTACATGTCATACACTCTTCAACAGATCTTGATGAGATCATCAGCCAAGATGGGGGAGAGCCACATGATTGCTATTTAAAAGCATCTCTTTTTCTAAACAAGAATATGTTGTAGCAAATTAAGATCACCTATGTAGAGATTTTTAAACTGTCTACTTTTGTTACAGGCTTTAAGCTAATTTTTGATACAGAATTTACAGATTCTTTAACCACACCCATTGAAGTTACAAATCCTGAGATAAAGACTGTTTACACACTAGTCTTAAAAGATTTTTTTTTAGAGCAGAGCACAGAGATATTGTATAGATAAAAGACTTAAGAGTAGAAAGTTTAAAAACTTTAGAGATGAGATACTTTGGGATCATTTGCTTGTGCTGGCAGAAGTTGTTACAATCTGTTAGAATTTGGAACTCAAGTGTACCATATTTAGCCATGGAGCTTCACTGAGGCCATTTGCAATAAGACATGAAGTTTTAATAGAGTCTCAGTCTGAGGAGAAAAAGGAGGAGGAAGGGTCCACAAGGAATTCTGCTATAGGGAGGGTTCCAAGAGGGAGCTGAGAGACAGAATGGTGTAGCTTTGAGGGGCAAGGAAAAACAAACCAGAACCCACCCCAGGGAGGTTCCAGTGTTGTAGAGGCCATGAGGTCATAGAGAAGCTGCAAGACTTCAGGAGGGAGTTGAGGGACAAGGTTGCCATCTTTGTTAGGGTTTTATTGTTGTGAACAAATGCATGACCTCGGTAACTCTTATAAGGAAAGCTTTTAATTGGGGCTGACTTACAGTTTAGAGGGTTGGCCCATTATTATCATGGTGGGAAGCATGGTGGTGTAGGCAGACATGGTGCTGGAGAAGGAGCTGATAATTCTACTTTTGGTTCCTCAGGCTGCAGGAAGTGATATCACATTAGACCTGGCTTGAGCATTTGAGACCTCAAATCCTGCTCCCTAGTGCATGTCCTCCAACACAGTCACACCTACTCCAACAAGGCCACATTTCCTAATCGTGCCATTCCCTATGAGCCTGTGGGGGCCATTTTCTTTCAAACCACCACAGTTGTCAGAGATCCAGAAGGGCCCAGGATAGCTGTGGAACTCAGCAGGCATTTCCTAGGGGGAAGCAAGGAAACTTGCAACGTACAGGTCCAGGAGGGTACCAGGAGAGACAGAGCAGGTAGCTTTGTGGGGGAGGAGGCAAGGAAAAGGTTGTCAGGGGAGAGTAGAGAAGCTGTGGAAGCAGGTAGTTCTCAGGGGAGATGAGGAAGTTCCAGGAAGGAGCTGAGAGACCATAAGGGAATAGGGGCCTTAAGTGTCACTGTGACAAGAATTTTAATCTAGGGTTGCCCCAAACAGACTGAGAGATATGTCAGAGAAATGTCACAAGTCACAGAGGAGAGGTGTTCCTTTCGACAAGAATAGGGGCCTGTGTAGCTTCTGTAGTAAAAGCAGACAAAACAGGCAGCTCATGGTGACATTTACCTAGAAGAAGAGGAGAGATGCATGGAGCAGGTGGAGAACACAGTTGAAGAGGTGGACTGAGAGGCTCTTGAGGGAAGGGGGGGGGATTCTAATAGAAGGAGAGGAGTGAGGACCCAGAGGGCATAGCAGGAAAATGCCCATGTGGTAGGCATCTCAGAGGGTGTAGCAGGAAAATGCCCATGTATGGCATCCCAGACGGTGTTGTAGGAAAATGCCCATGTATGGCATCCCACAGGGCATAGCAGGAAAATGCCCATGTATGACATCCCAGAGGGTGTTGCAGGAAAATGCCCATGTATGGCATCCCAGAGGGTGTTGCAGGCTCTAGGAGCTGGAGAGAGGACACTTGCTGAGTAGGCAAGAGATGGGTAGAATAGGTGGAGGGAGGAAGCAGCTGAAAAATTGGACTCTAGGATTTGGAGGCTAATATGGTGGTTGGCAGAAGCCAGCAGAAACAAATGATCCAAATACCTTAGGAGAGTCAAATCAGCTCTGTTGGAGAGGCTGCATTCCTTGGAAGGGAACTCATGTATGCCAGTCCTGGGCTTTGGCACCAGATGAATGAAAAGAAGTAAAAAGGAAGGACATGACTGCGCCTCAGCTTGGTGGAGAAAGTTTATTGTGACTAGAAGGGAGAGCATAGGCAGAGACAGGGACATCTGGGAGAGTCCAGAGTGAACAGGACCCTCCATCATGTCATGTGAGGAGAGGGGGAAGGGTATCTTCCTGGCTCCTGAAGTATGCTTCTCCACATGGGCATTTTCCTGCGGTGCCCTCTGGTCTGACCACTGTGTATTTCCCTGTTACACCCTCTGGGGCCCCTCCATGTGGGCTAAGAGCCAGGAGACCAGGAGAGTAAAGAGTATACAAAAAAGGGGCAGGTAACCAAAATGTCTGGATTATATAGGGAAGGGCAGCTGGGGCATGGGTAGCTCAGCTTCTGGGCTAGAGAAGTTTAGGGTAGGGATGGGGGTATGCCGGCCATACTCTGTGTAACAGATAGGGACTGAAGGATGCTAGGAGAACATGGTGGAGAACAGGTCATCTTTGTATGTAAAATAGGCACTTCAGTTAGCCATTTGTTCAGATCTGAGATCTAATCTGTAGCAGTCTGATCTGTTTCTAAGTGACCTTTTGCATGGAAGACACTTTGTCATTCAGTTTTTGAGCCAGAGTCTAGCTAGATAGCCCAGGCTGGCCTTAGATTTACAGTCTTCCTCTCGCTGGGACTGGAGGTGTGCAACTCTAGCCTTGTGAAGCAGCTGCTTTAAATTACTTGACTAACTCCTCCTTCCTCTTGCTGCTTGGCCCCCATTCTTCCCCTCCTCCCTGCCAGTGCCTGCTAACCAAGTATTCTACTGAGCTGCACCCCAACCCTCACATCCTTTATATTTCTTAGCCATCATTAGAGAAGGTCATAGGAATTAAAGTGGTATGTATGAGACATTAGAAAGTATAAGGCTGAAAGCATCTCTGAGTATTCAGTTCTGTAGGCTAGGCATGTTAATCTCTGTACCCTGCTTTCCTTAGCTGTGAGGAAATGAGAACAATGGTTTTTTTTTTTTTTTTTTTTTTTGTAGTATGGCTATAAAGTGAGCATTCTGCCATTGATTTGCACCCCAAACTCATCATACTCTTTTTATTTTCTGACCTCACTAAACCCTCATCATCATCCCCTACCTATTTAAAGAACTTTCTAAGTATCATGACTGCGAGATATATATATATATATATATATTTTTTTTTTTTTTGGTATAATAGTCCTATCTTGCCATGGGGGAAAGGTTGTTGCAGCACCACATGCCATCAGTCTTTGTGTGTATTTGTTCACTAGACTCATAATTGTAAATAATACATTGCTATTAGGCCCATACTTACTCATCTTAATCTTAAAGCTTTGACAGATATTCCTGGAACACAGATTGTACTTATAATGAAAGTGAAATGAAGTGGGTGGAATCCATTCCTCTGGGTATGTTTTAGGAAAGACCACACGTGTGCACACATATGTGTGTGAGTGTATCTTAAATGGGCTTGTATTTACTGTGCCCTCAAAAGCCACCATCATCTTCTATGTTTGTGTAGAAGTGGGAACAGGACTCTGAGACATTCCTGATCATCATAAAGGGAGCTGGCGGAAAGGCCTTCTGTGCTGGAGGGGACATCAAAGGTAAAGTGCAACCGTAAGCCAGTACCCACTGGAGCTAGTAAGTATTGGAAATTACGTGAGATAGATTTTATTTGGCTCTTTAGAATTGTATGCTATATGTTAATAATTCTTTTAAAGATGAGAAATATAGAGAATTTGTTACCATTCTAATGGAGATTTTATTTTACTACCCATGTACAGTGCTGAGATTTAGATATCTTGTTTTCCTTTTATGGTACATACCCCCACCCCCACAATGTCATCAACATCATCACCATGTGAAGGACTTCTCATCCAGACCTGATGCACGCTTGTTTCCATCACTTTCCATTTCTCAGTCCAGACAGCAAGTTCTGTGAGCAGAGTTAGGACTATAGCCTATTGTATGATACTGTTGAGTGTTTAAAGACAGGGAGATTAAAATTTGTTTGTTTGTTTTTTTATTGTTGGTCAATTAGTCTATATGTATTTAACTATTAAAGATAATATTTGCTTTTGTGATGAGAGTTATGAACTCATCGCTATCACTGCTGGTTGTTACTATTGAAAAGGATGTTTTTTTTTTTTTTAACAGTTTATATATTGTTCTTGTTGTGCCCAATTCTCAAAGATCCCCAAAGAGACCACCAGGGAGACAGACCCTCTGAAATGTAAAAGTAAGGTTTATTGTTCATCCAACCATTACAGGGACCTCATCTTGCTGGCTGATGCAGCATTTACCAGAGGAAATGAGTTCCCTGTTTACTGTCAGGTTTTTAAAGGCAAAAATCACAGGATTACATCAGTAGGTACAAAGTTGGTTTCTGATTGGTTGACATTTGGGTAACTATTAAGGGAATTTCTCAAAGTTATATTTTGGCATGAAATACCTGTGTACCAATTACTCTCATTGGTCAGTGCAGAGAGGGAACATTCTGTAGTTTCTATGGCTCTGTCTTGTTACTTACAGGTGGCCTGTTGTACATAGATACCAGTAGTTTTCAGAACTGTGTCCTGGAGACTACAGGGGAGGTTTTGCCTCCCCTGAAGTTTCTTTGGTGGCCAAACAGTTCCCAGGAACCAAGTATCTAGAAGGCTAGGCGGGTGTGGAGTTTCTTTGTGTTCAGTCTTGGCTCTAAGCTCTTGGGAGGCCTGGGGATCTTTGTGTCATGTGCTGAGTCAGAGGCCTACATGTCTTTTCTGTAGCCTGTCATGGCTGCTAAATCATGAGGCTGAGTGAGGGTCTGGTACCTTTATTTCTCTAGTATAAATAATAAGAGTTAAGTGGAAACTTAAGGCTTTGTACAATTTCTCCCCAATGTGAATTATTAGAAGTAAAGCCTTTGACTTCAGTTTACTACTCTCAATTCTTATGGAATTGGTAGGGTTCAGGGATTTCCACCCCCCCCCCCCGTTATGATTTTGCATATTTGTTTTATTATTAAAATACAACAACTTTTGGGTTGATTGTTCACCAAATTTGCAAGTTTATATAGATCATTTCATTATCAGTAGGAAGGAAAGTAAACCTAGATTCAGGATCAAGTTCAGATGCTCACTCAGTTTAAAGTAGCTGAAATTTAAAATTACTATATAATAGAAACCTTAATTCCTTAACGTTATGGTTTTGCCTATAACATGAATTATGTATGCACACATGTATGTGCCTGTGTGCCCGTGACTGTGCATGTGAGTGCCAGTATGCCTATGACTGCATATGATTTTGATAACCATGTATGTGGCTATGTGTGTACAAGTTCATGCATCTGTATGCCTGTGACTGTGACTTTGTTTGTATGTGTGTGAGATACTGTGTGTATGTACATGCATGCCTGTGTGCCTATGACTCTGGTTGGTGCCTGTGTCTGTGTGGTATGTGTGTATGTGCTTATGTGCACTGGTGCACATGTGCGTACTAGAGATCAAACCCAGGGTCTCATGCATGCCTGTGCTCTATGTCTTAACAACCATAACATCAATATTTTAAAACATGGTTTTCACCCCTGGGAGTGCCTTTTCTTTAGAGTGGGGCCACGGTCTTGTCAGTTTCCACATGGGAAAGACTACTGCATTGGTGAGTTTAGTGGTTTCTTGTTGTGAGCAGTTTCTGAATATGAGTTGACCTAATGTGAGTCTCTGTTACTGTGCTAAAACATTATGACATCTTACAGGAGGAAGGGTTTATTTCAGTTTATGGTTCCAGGGGGGTTCATGACAGGAGAGAAATTGCAGTAGGCAGCCAGAACATGGCTCTGAGAGATCTGAGCCTATCTTTACCATTAAGCATAAAGCACAGAAAGAAAATGGGAAGTGGGGTGAGGCTATGAGCCCTCAAAGCTTGCTCCCAGTGGCATAGTTTCTTCAGATAGTACCTCCTAGATCCTTTCCAAATAGCACCACTAACCATGGGCCAAGTGTTCAGATGCCTGAGCCTGTTGGGGACATTTCTCATGTAAATGCCATATGACTAACTTTATATTCTTGTTTAGAATATAAAGAATATAGAATGTAGTTTTAAATTCCAGAATTATTCTAGTTTATGCATACAAAACAGTAAATGCAAATTCCAGAAAATTCTACAAGTAGATACAGAAAAATTTTAAAGGTGTATGTTATTTAATTTAAATGTGTATATGTGTGTGTGTGTGTGGGTGTGTGTGTGTGTGTGTGTGTGTGTGTGTGTGTGTATTTATTTAAGGGTTTTTATTGGTGTGAAGAGATACCATGTCCACAACAACTCTTATAAAGGAAAATATTTAACTGGGACTAGCTTATGGTTCAGAGATTTAGTACATAGTCATCATGGCAGGAAGCATGGTGGCATGCAGGCAGACATGGGCTGGAGAAGTAGCTGAGAGTTCTACATCTGTATCCACAGACAGTAGGGAGAGAGAGCAATGCTGGGTTTGACGTGAGCTTCTAAAACCTCAGAGCCTGCCCCCAGTGACACAGTTCTTCCTATTCCAAGAAGGCCACACCTCCTTCTAATAGTGCCATTCCCTCTCTGAACTTATGGGGGCAATTTTCATTCAAACCACCACAATTTTCATTCAAACCAACAATATATAAATTTTGCTTAAGTAAAATTAGAAGGAACTTGGGGCAAAGTGACTCTTGGAGTTGGTAAGTGAGGCTCCAACTCAACAAAGGACAACAGATAAGGGTTCCCCCCCCTTCAGGAAACTACCCCTCCTTTACATTGTAATGGCACAGTCCCAGCAGATCTTTTTAGGAAAGTATTGTTGGCCCTTGGTGACTGATGTTTCTGCCTTATGGATTCAGCTCACTATAGATGTGAAACAGTTTGGCAAAAATTATATTTGTACCAAAAAGGTACTTTTTTTCCTTATTAGTCCCTCAACGCCTTGTGACAACAAATTTTATTTATATTGGATGTTTTAGGTCAGCTAGAGGTGACTTACATTGCATAGGATGGTGTGCCTCAGTCATCTTTTTTTTTAATTCAATTTATACATTTTTTTCAGTTGTAACTGAAACTTTAATGTTAATACTTTTTAATTTATTATTTTACATGTCGATCCCAGTTCCCTCTCCCTTCCTCCTTCCCTCCCTCCTTTTTACCCTCTCTGCCCCCTCAAATGCACCCTGACCAACCTCCCCTCCCATCCCCTCACCCCAATTCCACATGTAGGGGAATGCTATCCAGGTGGGGTCATATAGCTCTGTCAGGTCATGTGAAGTAGGGACTAGGGCTTCTCTCCTGTCCCTAGGTTAAGGCAGTTATCCCTCCATGGGGGATGTGTTCACAAGGTTCTTTTGTGCACCAGGGATACCTCCTGGTTCCATGTCTGAGGTCTCTTAGACTGCTCAGTCCTTCTCACTGAGACCCATATTCAGGGGGGCCTGAGTCATCTTACTTGTATTGTTTTCCTATAAAGGATACAGGGATGGGACAAGGTGTGGAAAAATGGGTATGGAGCTTCCATATCCTTTTTGTCCGTGTGGAACCTCCTCCCGTTGACCCATCAGAAATCTTGTTCAATTTCAAAGCTCAGAGCAGAGCACAAACTTACACCAGAGGCATTGTTGAGGATATATTCTTCTCAATACATTATCTGTAATTGTTCTGCAGCCTTTGGACTTCCCTAACGGTTTCACTGTAGAAGCGTGGAGGAACATGCAGAAGTGTGATCGGTATAATTTAATGCAAATAGACCAATGGGAAGCCCAGCAAGGCCTGTGTGTCCAAATCCTTGTTTTTTTCTCAGCCCATTCCTTTCTTTGAAGTCTGGGACAGGACTCTTCAAATGGGATTGTTATGATCCAGGTCAAATCCAGGTAGTGGGAGGGGAAAGCATAGAGACTGTGACCTGCTTTAGGTAGAGAAGTTCTTGTGTCTGTGACCTCCTGTGCAGAGGGACTTAAGGTGCCAGGAACTGTGGGTAAAAATGTGTGTGTGTGTGTGTGTTTTGCACATGTGTGTGTTTATGCATGCATTTGTGCGTGTGCATGGATACTTGTTTTCATGTGTGTATATTCACAGCACAATAAGTAAAAGAAGAATTTTTGCTTTGAAGCTTTGACATTGGACTATGGATCTCTGACAATGGGTGATATGTCATCATTATAGATGACTTCAAATATTAAAGCCATCTGTAAGTTCCCCTCCCTCCAGCACTTAATCATTACAGGACTTTTATTATATTGACTGTATTGACTGGAAGCCATCTTTATGATTTGTAATTGTTCTTTCCTTCATTTTTTTCTTTTTCCTTCCTTCTGTAGCAATCTCAGAAGCTAAAAAAACAAGGCAGAGTTTGACCCAAGATTTTTTCAGAGAAGAATATATCCTGAACAACGCCATTGGTATGTGTGTGTTCCACTCTGCCCTTTGAACTTGAAATTGAGAGCTGGGATGGCTCTGTAATTTGTTAGAATGCAACCAATAGGCACTTTTTATGGAAACATTCATTTTTACTTTTTGGTCAAACTGGTAAAACTATTCTGTATTTGTCTAAAATCAATGTGAAATGTAGGCTCTTGATCATTTAGATAGCTTTCTCAGAAGATAAGAAAACTTGCATTCTAGGTTTCTAAATAAAATAAAGTACCATTTTCTGTTTCTCTAGGAACTCTGGAGTAGAAATGTCTTTAAAATCAGAGTTCTAGGTTTCTGTGGAAGTGAAGTAGCATTTACCTTAGTCAAACATGTTTTGAAAAGATAAATTAATACAGCATTTGTATCCGTAAGTGTACACATTGTAGCAATATTCTGATTTTGCATGATATAAGAATAATACATTTTAAATTTAGAGTTCAACCCCTTTTGTGGTTTTCCTTGCTGCCATTCTTTAACCAGAAGGAACCTTAGCCCTGAATCTTAGCCCTTTTCAAAAGCCTTGCCATTATTAATCTGTAATGTATTCTTGTAGACATTTTAAATTGATTTTAACATCATAGGGCTTATTCTGCACTAATTTGGGGAGAACTGACCTCTTTGATGCAGGTCTTTCCTTCACGAATCTGTGGAGTTAGAATTTATAGCGCAATTCCATAAGTGTTCAGTGGACGTTAGAAGAGTAATAACACTTTGTGGTTAAAACCAACTTACAGAACTGTATGCACATGTGCCCTGACTAGTGATGGGAGTGTGTCCAAATAAGATGTAATTGAGTTGAAAACACAGCAAGACATTTGATGCATCTGACCTGTAAAAGATACAGCTAGCACTACAGTTCACTGTTGAGTGCTGCTTGCTGACCCTGGTACTTATGTTCTCCCAAGTGTTGTCAGTGCACTAACACTATCTATTCTACATTTGTACACAGGAGGTCATTCCTAGTTTTTACTGATAGAGATGGCTATATGCTGCTCTAATGACCATTTGCTAACGTTTGTATAGTGGTAATTTGTGGAATGGATATGCTATCCAGATGCACATTGTCTCCAACATTTCCCAGAAAAAGACGACTTTCTGTACACATCTTTTGTTTTGACTACTCTTGGATTTTTGTATCTTCTCCTTTAACTTAATAATTGTTTTGTCTCCTTATAAAAAAATTCCTATGGAAGCCTGGGAATATGTAACCCAGAAGCCTGAGGTTCATTCCTGAGCCTTGAGACAATAGGCAGACAGACAAACACATGTAAGGAAGGAGAGGGAGAGAGAGAGAAAGAGAGAGAGAGAGGGGGGGGGGAGAGGGAAAAGGAGAGGGAGACGGAGAATATGTGAATGTGTGACTATGAGAATGCAAGTGAGTACAGTCATTAGTACCTGGGGAAGCTTGGGCTGCAAAGACAATGACTTGTTTCACCCTGACTCAGTGAGAAATGAGCTCTTTGTAGGAGTCCTCTTCCCATGAATCTCATTGGAGTTATAGTTCACAGTATAGTATCATAAACATCCTATGGTTTTAGAAAATTAACAAGGTGTGTGGCTACAAGTGTGCTGTAATCAAGAAATGGAATTTTGAATGTTTATAATTTTAATATAAATGGTTCATGTGGACAGTGACTACTCTTTTTTTTTTTTCAATGAAACAGAAAGAACATAGAAAGTGTTTAGGCAGTGTAAAGATAGTGTTTGGTAATAATAGAGAGAGAAAGTCTTGAGGTAAAATTTCTGAATGTAGGGATATTATAATCAGTAAAAGATTTGGCAGATTCTGGCTTCATGTCCTGCATTAGTTATTACCTAATATTTTGTATTTGAAATATACACTTCTGTAGTAGTTGGTGTGAGGTCTGTATATATATTTCTATCACAATAACTTCTATAGTTTCTAAGGAACTGCACGTACAGACCTTGTGAGTGTGAAGTCTGAGTTATGCTTTGTTTGTGAATATGTTGAGTATTTCCAGAATGTATCAGAATGCAGGTTTACCTTGGCCTTCATCGGGGTAGTGTTGACAGTAAGATGTGACAAAAGCCCCATAAGTTATGTCATTATGTTCTGCCCAACTCTCTAAGAAGAAAACCTAAAAAAGAAATAGAGACAGTAAAAGTTTATGTGATTAATGGAATTTTTCAAACAGGAAGGAATATTTGAGGACATGTGTTAGGCGTTATTTTATAGATGAAGACACTTATTTGTGGGTGAAGTACATGAAACATCCTTATCCGATATGTGTATGTGTCATATAACTTATATGTCACTCAGTGGCTGTTCATTTAATAATAAAGCTGAGACTGGAATCCGGGTCTTGTCACCCCCACTCTGTGATTGTCCCTGTACAGTGTACTTCTCTGCATGTATCCTGATGCTGTCATTGTATAGAAAGCAATTATGTTCTTAAAGCACATCTGGGTATGTGGCTTATAATGTGGATGCTAATTATTTTTCTTAGTTGACAAATAATACAAAACTTTTATTTGTTTCCGACTTAAGACCGAGTTGTTAAGCAGTAATGATTATTTTATCATGACTATGAGTGAATTGACAATGAAATATACATGTTACAAACTATGTAATAGTCTTCCTTAATATTTCTTTAAATATTTCCTTGGGAAACTAGAGTGCACATACCAGGACTCTTTGGAAAGTGGATGTATTTTAGATATTCTAACTAAAGCTCTTTCTCTTTTAGCTTCCTGTCAGAAACCCTATGTTGCCCTTATTGATGGGGTCACAATGGGTGGGGTAAGTAGACTTTTTGCTATTTTCATTGTTTTAATGAGTTGTATTAAAATAAGATAATGATTATTTCGTTAAATTGAGAAAGTGAATGTAATACAATGCAGCTCATTGGAACATATGTTTATTTCAGGTTCAGATCCTCACGATTTGGGATATAAAATGTATTGGTACCAAAAGAATATTTTGTGTTCTTAATCTATTTTAACCTTTGTAGTTATCAAACTCTCTTAAGCCACAGAAGCTGATTGTACTTTAAAAATCTTACGTGTGTGTGTGTGTGCGTGTGCGTGTGTGTGTGTCGGGGGGCATGTAGGGCGGTAAAATATGAGAATATTCAGGCATGCATGTGTCATGGTGCAGGGGTGGAGGGCAGAGGACAGCCTTGTTTGTCAGCCTATCCCTTCTAGTCTTTGAGCAAGGCCTCTTGTTATTTTTCTACTGTGTATGTCAGGCTGCTTGGCCTGCAAACTTTGGATTCTCCTGATTTTGCTCCCATCTCCTCCTCTTAGGAGCACGAGTTGTAGACATGGGCTTTATGTAGGTTCTGGGGATTCATACACAGAGTCTCATACCCTACATCAAGTACTTTACCAAGTACTTCCCAACTCTGGTTGCACTGTTTTATTTACATGTTAGATGTTTCCCCCTTTTGTGCAGTGAACTCAGGGCTGTATGTACACTAAACAAATGTTCTATCACTGAGTTTTATCCTTAGCCCTTTTAGGACTTTGATATATAGCCCAGGCCAGCTACCAACTTTTATGTGGCCTAGGATAGCCTGGAGCTCAAGATGTTCCTTCCTGCCTCTGCATCCCAGGTGCTGGCTGGGATTACAGGTATACACCATTATTCCCTCTATAACCCCCTTTCCTAATTACACATTAGCTGAGTGCTTCCAGTAGTATTGGGAGAAAAACCCAACATTGGATCTTCAGTAGTGGGGAGGCGGGTCACTGAATTATTTCTGTCCTACATTTCACATTCATGGAAGTGCTGTAATTTTTTTTCTCCTTTGAGATAGGGTCTTGCTCTACAGCTTAGGTAGTCTTGGTTTCTCAGTCTAGTTGCTTCTGCTGGGATTGCAGACTCAGTTTAGTGTTTCCTTAAAACTGTGTTCCTTTCAGTTGACAGATGTTTTGCTTGGTGTCTGTGCTATCACGAAGAAGACTAAGATGTGCTTTGAACTACTTGCTGTAAAACTGGAGGAACATATTAAATAATCACAGAGCAAGTGACACATACATGGTCTGGTGCTGATTAGAACAAGATCTAGTCTTTACAGAATGAGGGGTCAGAAGGGACCTGCAGAGCAGGTGGAGAAGTCAGTGAATTGAACTGAACTGAAAGGTAGTGTGTGTGGTAAGAGAAGAACCAGAAAACAACCATTTATTTATGTGTGGGGAGAGGGGTGAGTGTGTGCCATGGTGAGCCTGGGAGGTCAGAGGACAGCATGTGGGAATCAGGTCTCTCCTTCCACCATGTGGGTCTTGGCACTGAGGTCAGGTACCCAGTGAGGATCTCCTGGCCCCAAGTGCAGCTTCTTTTGTGACTCACTGAAGTAGTGGCTGACAGCTGGGACAAAGGAGATTAAGGAGAGAAGCATGACAAGTTCGTGTAACAAAATGCCTGACAGGAGCATTTGAAAGGAAGACCTGAAAACCTAAGGCAAACTGTTTTTCTATTTAGTTTTGATAGAGAACGAATGGTTACAGAAAATGAACAAAAGGGGTGTGAATCAGTGAGAAGAGATGGGGGTTCTAAGTGGGTTCTTTTTGCCTGGCTATGTGGCATCCTTTCTGGCTGAGGCAGGAGTCTTCATCAGGTGGAATGATGCTATACTCTCAGGAGACAGGTTATAGATATCCTTTATTATCAGCTGTCTTTGTTTGTGTTTTTGTTGCTGTGAGTAGACACCATGACCACAGCAACTTTTAGTTTTTTGAGACAGGGTTTCTCTGTGTAGCTTTGTAGACCAGGTTGGCCTTGAACTCACAGAGATCCACCTGTGTCTGCCTCCCTTAGTGCTGGGATTAAAGGCGTGTACCACCACCAAAAACTGTCCAGCTCCATAGCAACTCTTATAAGGAAACATTTAGTTGGAGCTAGCTTACAGAGGTTAAGAGATTTAGGCCATTATCATCATGGCAGAAAGCATGGTGGCACACAGGCAGATATGGGTGCTGGAGAGATAGTTGAGAGTTCTATATCTGGATGGGCAGGCAGCAGGAAGAGAGAATCACCGAGCCAGGCTTGAGCATCTGAGACTTGAAAGCCCACCTGCAGTGACACACTTTCTCCAACAATGCCACACCTGCTAATAATGCCACTCTCTAAGGGCCTGTGGGGTTCCTTTTCATTCAGGCCACCACATTAGCTCTCCTTCAGGAGGGTGAGGGAAAGTTAGAGAGTGACCTCTAAATATGACCCAACAGAAACTTGGTATGTTGTGATTCCCAACAATAAACAGGAATAGGAGGACTCCAACATTTAAAAAACTGCATGTGTTCAGTACTTGAAAAATTTAGTAATTTGGAAATCTTATTCTTGTAGAATCTCTATAAATGTAGCATCTTGTGTACCAGTAATTGCTTGGTTTTTCACATCATTTGGGAAGGGAGTCCATTAGTAGCTCTCTGTAGTTACAGGTAGCATCAAAAGGCAACCGATCGAGAAAACTGACTCTAGAGAAATGTCCAGAGACCTACAAGACTGACCCCAACTAACAATTTCAGCAACAGTGGAAAGGCTACCATAAATGCCCTTCCCTGATAATGAGATTGATGATGAACTTATCCACTATCATGGAACCCTCATCTAGTAGCTGATGGAAACAGAAGCAGACACCCACAGCTAAACACTGAGCAGAACTGGAATCCAGATGCAGAGAGGAAGGAATGATAAGAAAATGGGGACAAGACCAGGTTACAGAAACCCACAGAGACAGCTGACCTGAACAAGGGGGAGCTAATAGACCCCTAGACTGATAGCTGGGAAACCAGCATTGGACTGACTCAGACCCCCTGAACATGGATCTCAGTTAGAAGGACTGGGCAGTCTAAGGGACCTCTGACAGTGGAACCAGCATGTATCCCTGGTGCGTGAAAGGACTTTGGGAGCACATTTCCCATGGAGGGATACTCCCTTAACCTAGAGGCAGGAGGGAAAGCCTAGTTCCTACTCCAAATGACTTGACAGATTTTGTTGACCCCTCCTGGAAGGCACCACCCTCCCTGTGGAGGAGGGGGATGGGATGGGAGGGTGGTCATGATGCATGGGACGGGGGGGGGGGTGGGGAGAGGAGGGAGGAAGAGGGAACTGGGATCCATATGTAAAATGAGATTTAAAAAAAAAAAAAAAGACAACCAATTGGCTGGAGAGATGGTGCAGCAGTTATGAGCACTTGTTGCTCTTCCAGAGGACACAGGATCAGTTCTGCAAACCCACGAGGTGGTTCATAAGCCTCTGTAACTCCAGCCCCAGGGAATCTGATCCCTCTGACTTCTTTAGGCACCAAGCATACATGTGGTACCCATATATACAGGTATCCATGCAGGCAAAATACACACATGAAGTATTTTTAAAAAGGCAGTCTACATTCTACTCCTTCTTGGCAGATATTAGTATCTTATCATGTTTGTATTGTGTCAAGCCAGTACCAACTTGGGAATGTAAAAGCCTTGTTAGTGCTGTTCACACAGGCTTGTAACTCTAGCCTCAGGAGACTGAGGCAGGGGGATCATGAATAGGAGGCCAGACTGGACTGGGCTATATAGTGTGGTCCTGTTATTAAAAAAGAAAAACAAAAAACCCCAAAAACAACAACAAAAAACCTAACAATTATCTGAAGTGTCAAGAACCGCCCTGTGATGTAAAAAGAACTGGGGAAAACCAGAGAACCAAAGTTATCAGGCATGCCCAAAGCATACAGAAGGGAAACCCATCAGGATGCAGGCAGGCAGGCAAGGCATCAGGCTCAGATGGAAGATTGTAAGGGCTGATAACTTTAAGGATGGATGACTAGGAACTCAAATATATTGCAGCAGAACTGACCTTCCATTCTGAAAGCAATATAAATTGAGTCTGGGGTTGGGTTACTCATTGGGTAAAGGTGCTTTCTGTACAAGGCTGGGGACCTGAGTTCAAAACCCAGGTCAAACCAACAACATAGTCGCCACCTGTAATCTGAGAGGCTGGGACAGTAGTTCCAGGAGTTCCAAGGCTAAGTAGCCTGGCCTCTGCGGTGGTAAACAGCAAAGAGACTGCCTGAAACAAGGTGAAAGATAGGACCAGCACCCGAGGTTGTCCTCTGACATCACATGCTGGCCGCAGCATGAATGTGTCCACACTGGTGTAAGAAAATATGCATACACGGGCTATTGAAAGTGTGAAGGTCAAATTTGCGAAGCTCTCAGAAATGATTCAAAATATTAAAAACAAAGTGATACTGATGATGAGAACGGTACTGGGGTGTCAGTGGTACAGGCTGTTTTGGAGTTAAGATCCTGGAGTCAGTCATCAGCAGTGGATAGCAAGGAAACTATGAAGATTAATTTTGATGTGAAAGGCTTGGTGAACTCCTCATGGGTCTGTCAGTGATCAGTGCTTCCATAGGTTTTCGCTACACAACTCTGGCTGGCTTCCAATTTGTGCAGCCCAGGATGCTTGTGAATGAATGTTGGGGTCCCACATATGAGCCAGTGTTGACTTCACTGTCAAAATCTCTTTAAAAAGGCAGTGGTGGCACACACCTTTAATCCCCGCACTTGGAGGCAAAGATAGGAAGATCTCTTTGTGAGTTTAAGGCTAGCCTGGTCTACAGAATGTGTTTCAAGACAGCCACGGCTACACAGAGGCTACACAAGTTGTCTTGAAAAACAAACAAACAAGTCAGTAAAACTTTAAATTCTTAATTTTTAAAATATGTATAGGTGTTTTTGTCTGCTTGAATGTCACACACATGCCTAGTACCCATGGAGGTCAGAAGAGGGCATCAAATCCCCCGG